TTATTTTCCGAGCAAAAAATTAAACTTAAAACGTAACGATTATTTTCTGAGTAAAAAATAAAACTCAAAATATAATGATTAAACTTGATTTTTATAAGTAAAAATTAAAAAATAAAAATCAGTGCCGCTGAAGGTACCCCAAGTAATAAGAAATATATTGGTTTACTCCTTATGCACGTAGCATTTCTCTTTCCGCGTGATTTTTTGAGTTGAAATTTCAAAGGATAATCGTTATTTGCGGTCCCTGAAAATTATAAAAAAGCAAATAAAAAATAAACAAGTAATTTTTAGCAAAAAAAAACCCGACTTCAACTCTCATATAAAAAAATATATATATATATATCTCATAATCCACTGATCGGACCTCAACCAGATTAGTATGGGACCACCTCTGAGAACTAAAAAAAATAGCAAAGAAAAACTAAAAAATTTAAGTGAGCAAATTTTGTTTCTTAATTTTTTTCTGAAATCGAACATACTTCTATATGTACATAGTTTTTTTTTTTAATTGCCTCACTGCCGTTGTAAGTATTTCAATGGTCATTTTTAATATTAAATTATGAATGCTTAATGGCTACAGAACCGTGCTTCCAGTTTTAAAAAACTTTTTCCCTAACTACAGTTACCCATCGCTTGCACGCACTTCGAACCAAAAAAGTAAACGCCCGTAAGTTTTATTCATATGTACATACATTCGCTGCAGAAGCACGCATATCCGATCGTTCATTCATTCGACAAATCGCTCATTTCCTCCTTGATTAAAACACTTGTCTGCCCACTTACTTATTCGAGAAGTTGCTGCTCATACTGCTGCTGCTTATCGTAATACTGTCCCCCTGTATACCTCCTTCCGCTACTTACTATCTTCTCTGTAGACCACCAGCAACAACCTCGGATATCATTCATAACTATAGGAAACAACAACCTGCTTCGTCAGCAGCTCCAGTTTTTTCGCTCCATATATTTTTTTTCTTTGCTTACTCATTATATATTTTGGCAAATTGTACGCAGCTCTTAAGCTCGAACTCTACAAAAGTACCTTAATTTAAGGCCATTTACTCGATTAAGTCGAGGTATTGTTGCTGCTCCTGCTGCTGAAAACCCGGTGCAACCGAGCGGCAGCTGTATTTTTTTTGGCAGTGCGAATGCTTCCGATTTGTTGTTGTTGTTGCTGTTGTTTGTTTTCTCAACTACTTAAATAACCAAGTACTTTTCATTTGGCTTGCCAACGCATATTTTCATACGTATATCCCCATGGGTACCTGGCGAAGGACAGCAACCTGGCAGCGTCATTCACCGAAAAAAGGAAGCGAGCGCAGCACAATTGCAGGCGAAAAAAATGTATATTTACCACAAAATTCAAGGTGTAATCAACATCCGCTGGCAAACGAACGAAGGGAGGAAACAACGAAAAAATTCCACACCGCACAAAAAAAAAACGAAGCGGAGCAAATAAGTAGTGGTGTCTTCTTCCACGGCGAGGCAGTGTAGTGGAAAGAAACGATGCAGCACCTGAAGGGTCTTTAAATTTTAAGTATTCACACACAGACGCGTACAGCACTGTGATCTATGCCACAAACACACGCAACCGCTTGGACCCATTGGCTTGCTGATAGCCGCCTTGGAGTGCACAATTTTGAGGCGTCGCGTAGTGGTACAGTCCCAAACATTCATTTTTGGAAAAAATTGTAAGCGGCTACTGTATTAAGAATTAAATAGAAAATTTATAAAAGAAATTATATATAAAAATAAACAAAAATACAAAAAGATACGTCAATGAAAATATTTTAAAGTAAATAAAGCATCAAAAAATTAATAAATATATAGAAAAATAATTAAAAATGTTCAAAAACACCTGCAAATAATAAAAATAAATAAGTAAAATACGAAAAAAGTAAGATAGTAGAACGGGAAAAAATAAATAAAAAGGAAAATAATAAAAATAAAATTAAAAATAAAAACAAAATTTTAAAGGAAAATAATAACAGCATAAGAAAGGAAAATAAAAAAATAATGAAAAATTAAAATAATAAAAAATAAAAACGAAAATAATAAAAATAAATAAAATTAAAAAGGAAATAAAAGAAATACAAATTTCCCTTGTTTAATACACCCTGAACTAAAGAATTCAAATATAACAAGTAAGAAAGTCTAAGTTCGGGCGAAGCCGAACATTAAATACCCGGCGCAAGTATTAAACATATGTTTTTTCACCTTTCCGAAACCTTCCGCTAGATGGTAAGCCGGGGTGTATCAATTTTGAGTAAATTAGCGTCCTTCAATTTCGAAATATTGAAGTTTCAAGCATTTCTGAAATTTACCGTTATATGAAAAGCGGCCGTAATTTTAGCCTGAATTCAATAATTTTTAATAATTGGCTTTTATGTGGCAAGCACAATAACCACACCGAGTTTGGTACAAATTGGTAGAACGGTTACCAATATACTTATATGAGATCATAAGTGGGCGGTGCCACGCCCATTTTCCAAAGTTTTACCATAATCGTATTTCTTGGTAAAGAATTGTTGCAAGCATCAATTTTGAATAAATTAGCTTCAATATTTACTGATTTATCGAAGATTTTTTATTTATCTAAATTTCCGTTATATGGGATGTGGGCGTGGTTATTGTCCGATTTTAAAAAGTTTCGGCGATTTTTATGCTGTGCCAAGGCCAACAACTGTACCAAGTTTGGAAGAAATTGGTGCAGCGGTTACCAAGATATACACATGTAACCATAAGTGGGCTTGGCTACGCCCATTTTCCAAAAATTTATAATATTCTTATTTTTCGTCTAAAAATTATTGTAAATATCAATTTTGAGTGAATAATCTCCAGTAGTTACTAAAATATCGCCGTTTTCGTATTTCTGAAAATTACCGTTATATGGGAAGTAGGCGTGGTTATTGAGCGACTTTAAAAATTTTCGGCCATTTGGTATGTTGTGCGAAGGCCAACAACTGTGCCAAGTTTGGAAGAAATTGGTGCAGCGGTTACCAAGATATACACATGTAACCATAAGTGGGCGTGGCTACGCCCATTTTCCATTATAATATTCTTATTTTTCGTCTAAAAATTATTGTAAATATCAATTTTGAGTGAATTATCTTCAGTAGTTACTAAAATATCGCAGTTTTCGTATTTCTGGAAATTACCTTTATATGGGAAGTGGGCGTGGTTAAGGTCCGATGTCGCCCATTTTCAATACCAACCTACCTTGGATTAAGGGAAACCTACATACCAAATTTCGTTGAGATATCTCAATTTTTGCTCGAGTTATCGTGTACACGGACGGACGGACAGACAGACATGGCTTAATCAATTTCTTTTTTCATCCTGATCATTTATGTATACATTTGTCTATATCTATCTCGATTCGTTTTGGCTGTTACAAACAACCGTTATGTGAACAAAATTAATATACCCTTGTGCACAAGTGCGCTCGGGTATAAAAATTGAATATTCAAAATACTTTATTTTTCCCCCGTAATACCACTGTGCGTCGTCGTAGTCCGTTCTTTATGTGGTGTCGTGTGTAACGCACGAAAGCACGAGTTGCATCGGTAGTGGTGGTGATACGACCGACAGGTATTGAGACAACTAAACACCTTGTGTGCGTCTGCCTTACACAAGCGGCAGCAGTGTCCGAAGTAGCAGCATAAAAGGGACTCCAACATAACTGAACTACCACTGCCTGCCTGTTGCCTGTACTGCCAGGAGGCTTTGGCTGGTAGCTGCACAATTTCTGGGCCGCTACTTAATGCTCCATATGCGCCACCAGAAAAAAAAACAGAATACTCGTAATAATAAAAATAAATAAAATAATACAGCGCGCACAACAACAATAAATAAAAGACACAAGCGTTGAGTCTTTCCTTTCATTCTTTGC